GAATAACCTCAATGTTTAGGTATACGTTCAATTGTCCGTGCTACCAAACCAGAGTATTCCAATAGCAGTCCGGTTTACAGGATTTAGTCAGAACTTACAGGAAGTCGTTCCTATTGACATAAAACCTGTAAGTGGGAACACGTTTGAGAGAATAAATGAGCAACTGTTCCTGGTCAGAAGTTACAGGATTTAGTCCGGAGTTTTTTTCCTGTAAGTTCATGAAAAAACAAAACGGTGAAAGCAAAAAACCTTATATTTCTGAAAAAAATGGAACTTAACAACGAAACATTTGAATATGTATAGATTTTAATAATTATTTAGTGTTAGTAGTAATAACAGGACAGGAAATAGTGATTTTCTCCCGTGCACTTCTGCATCTGTTCTCCTTTTACTCTCACTCTCTCTCCTTTACTCTCACAATATTAAGAAGGGCAACCTGCCGGATTATCTTAGCGATAATCTCCGATATATAAATGAGACGCATACATATTTGTTGAGAGAGAATAACAGCTTCAGACTCCCGAAGTATAGAACAGAAGTGGACAAAAAAAATATTTTCTATAAAGGCTTAAAGTGCTTCAATGAATTACCAGAGGCTATAAAAAAATGTGATACTATCACTCTTTTCAAGCGGCTGCTATTTGACTATTGTAGAACGCAACCTACAAGATAGTGATGTATCAACAATAGCGTGGATTGGAAACTAGGCCTTTCCAACCACCAAGATATCGAGACTAGGCGGATCGGAAACTCGGCCTTTCCGACTACCTAGACCCTTAGATAATAAACAATAAACGAGCGGATTGGATAGGCCTTCCCAACCGTCAACCGTCACGAAAGCGCGACTGGGTGGATCGGAAACTCGGCCTTTCTGACCACCCAGGAGATATCAATAAATGGAGTAACCCAAAAAGAATAGCGCGGATTGGAAACTCGGCCTTTCCAACCGTCTACATAACTTCCAGGAAATTGCATGCGTTTATATTGACATAAAATAATTGCAGTGATAAAGAAATAATGTTATTTAAAAATTTCTGTAGAGCATTTTGTATTTTGTTTTTAATATTTAATATTTACATTTTAAATCTAAAATCTAATTATAAGAATGTTAAATCTTTGTTGCAATATAAGTCTAACAGACTGTAAAAAATAAATAAATAAATAAACTTGAAATAATAAAATTGTAGTTTGGCAGTTCCGCAGGTTTTAGTCCGAAGTTGAAAGGAACAGACTAACTCCCAAGTTATCAGCGAAACAGTACCAACAGGGCGGTTCACAAATGAACAAGATCTCTATCAAGGCCGGTCCACATAGAACTTTCGCGTTGGCTTTGGCGTTGGCGTTGGTTTGACAGAACGCACGTTCAAAGTATGCTTGCTACAATGAACGCTTGGCAGCGAATCCTTGGGCCA